ACTCCTAATTATGATGACGATTAATAATACACCCACTGTCGACATCACCGTGACCGCGCACGCTCCCGCTCCTCATAAGTATGAGGCCTTCTGTGGCTCGAAACTATTAGAGCTTTTCTCAGTATATTCACGTGGGTAACCCGCGATAGTTAGTTCACTTTTCGTCTTTTGCTCGTCCGTACATATCGAATACGTAATAATTATATGTGTATACCTATGCCAGACACTGATTCTGTACTATTAATAAAAAACTTAGACTTCTGAAATATGAATAATAGTGTAGTGTCTGTATCATCGTGATTCAGTCTTGGGTACTAAACTACCTACACCACTAAGCGTAGTTTTAAAGAAAATGTAATTGAATGACAAGAACCCGGGCAAGAGTCTATGGAGAAAAAATATGAAAAAAAAAATATTTTTTTTAATAATAAACATAAATAGAAATGTCTAAAACATTTTATACAACCCAAAACTCGGAGGTCCTCAACAGACGTTATTATTTCGAACAAAAAAAATCAAAAACACTAAACAAAATAAACATTCAAATTAAGCATAAAAAGCGAGATTATACGCTCAATTTACGATTTCCACCCCTATGTCAAGGTGATTAGAGCATATGTCCAACTGCGCGTGTAATTATTGGTAATCATCATGGGATCATCCCTTGAGATTGGACTCTCCCTCTTTATATCTACTGCTGTCTCGACAGTGCAATGTTAACGACGAAAATCGGTCGCTAAGTTGTGACGATAAATGATGAACTTTATGAAACATTTACAAACCGACATAAATAATTGTGATTACGATCAAATAAGTCATTCTGACAAACTCACATTTGTCACAGCGAAAAGACGACTACGCGACATAACGTTATGAAAAAAAAGTGTTATATAAAAACAACTTTTTCACTACTTTGCATAAATCTTAATACGTTGTATAGGGGTTATTTTATTTTATCATTATCTGGATTTGTTCTGTGAAAGAAAGCTTAATTTTGCAAATGCCTCTTTCTCCTTTACAATAATTCAACATAAAGTTCAAATAAAAATTATACTAGAATTTGATTTAGCGACCAATTGTGTTCGTTAACAATGTCGAGACTACACAGCACAGGGAAGGTACAGGGGCAGGCGATGTGACAAATTAAACTCTGAAATTGTTGTAAAAAGATACGTAGGTACAAAGGGTTGTGAAGTAATTATAAAATTGGAGCATTTATAAACTTTGTAAGTGGAGGAGTCGTAACTAATTAAGTGTGATTTGGAAAATTAACGCCGAGAGTTATGAGAACTAACGCGCGGGCATACGCTGAAGGGTAAATAAGGTCTGTCACCTAAAAAAAAATTATACTGTTAAATCATGAGACATTCAATTTAATACAGTCACAGTGCAAACGGTAGTGAACATGTGTATTACGTTTAATTTTCTTTCAAAGAACTTCGAGTTACCTACGTTGCCGTAAAGAAAAACAAACCATTTCACTAGAACGATAAAGTTTCCATTAATAAATAATTTAGGTTTACTGAAGATAGTACCGAACATAATATTCTTAGAAAAAAAAGCACGTCAACTAGTGATAACAACATAACGCCATCTATAGACACGAAACTGAATTATTATATGTAATAACAAAGTACAGCTCCCGAAAACTAGGTGGCGTTAAATTAAATTAGTCGTTTTTTAGGGACGGGAAAGAGTCGACAAATAAGTATCGATTTGTGATAGTAGCCAATAGATAACTATATTACTTTTGTGTGAAAATTCTAATTCTGTTACGTCATTAGGCAATGTAAATGAAGTGAGTGTATAGAATACTTGTAATAAAGAAGATCTAATTGAATTTATTGCTGAGATCAATTTTTGGATTTGGGGGTCGTTATCACTACCACGTCAAGTCACCCTCTGGCTACCAAGGGATGGCAAAAGAAGCAGAGGTCGCCAAGTCAGGAGATGGGAAGATGACTTGAAACCGACAGCGGGATCATACTGGTTCAAGGTGGCAAGAGACAGAACACATCGGAAAGAATTGGAGGAGGCCTATGCCTAAAGTCACACCGAACTTAGGGATCTCTTGTAACCTATGTTTAAGAATAAAAGGCTATTATTATTATATTATTATCACTACCTACCACATCAGTTACCGTCACTGCTGAAAATTAGACTTCCGCTCATAACATACGGATGGCCAGTTGAAAGCGATATGAATCCAGAGGTCCGCAGTGATTTTTATTAGATCTTCTGTTCGGGAATAAATTGAAATTAAAACATAAAATATTTTGTCGTCATTTATTCATAAAGACAATTCAATAAATGAACGCACTAAGTTACAATAACTTTGAGATATGTCACTTAAATATTAATCGGTGGTGTCTATTACGGCTTTATTTGATATTTTCGTAATTTAATCTGAATACTTTATTAGCGATGTGAAGTTTACAGGGTAAATATATTTGAAATATCATTCTTAAAGGTTTTAAACCTTGAAAGTAGAGTGGAGATGAGTATAATATATAATTTGAAGCTCGTAATATCACCACCTTTGCGTTATATTCATAATTATGTATATAATAAGCTACAATACTCGCTATTGATATAATAGATCAGTTACTGGAAGACAAATCGTATGGCTTTTAATATTTTAGTACAATATCATTAATACAAACGCACCGATATGTACGTAATGCTACCAAACTATTGAGGAAAAAAATTCTACGGGAGTACAATACAAAATATTAGGAAAATAGAATTATATATTTTTTTAATTATCATTTTTCATTTCTCATCTAGTAGAAAAAGTTTTCAGAAACATCAGAATTCTTAAAATGAATTTTTAAATTTATTATTATAAGATAGTTAGAGCCCGACTAAACTATGGGAAAATCCGCCGTCAATCCCGTAATCTTGCGTTTAAATTATGGTTTTGTGCGACAAATAATCTCTTATGTCAGTTAGTTAGTGTTAAAAGGGTTTAACAGTTTGCTGTGCGTAAAAAATAATTAAGAACCCACTTTTTCTTATACCAGTGCCTCTTCAAGCATTACGTTCTCAAGTCGAGCTCTATTAAGAGTAAAAACGTTGAAGAGAAACAGTGCTAGTCCAAATGGTAAAATTCGAAAAGTGGCTTACTTAGACAAGAAATATGTACATACAATAGAATGAGAAAAGCTATTGTAATGTAATAAATATATCGAAAAATTTAAATATACGAAAACAAAGCAAGGAGCTGATGTCAAACAAAGGCTATGTACAGCTAAGCGATTAAGGGACTATAAACCTAACTTAGATCTAGCCCTAATTCCATACAAATTATAACTTATGATACAACAATGATCACAAACGCATGTCCACATTTAACTTAGTTTATCAATAAAAGATATGTGTAATTAATTGATGAGTATTAGTAGTAAATAATATAAAGTCATTCGACTTTAACATGAAGCGTAACACACAGCAAATCTTATCTAGCAAAACTTGGTACCAGTGTCAAAGATTATAATACCATTAATAAAAATATCATTCATTACTCTAAAATATGTATTTCCTATACAAACTTAAACACTAAAAGGTATATCGTTAAAATATAGTTCACTCCTATTCTAAGCAAGCTGTAGTAAACTAAAGTTTAGAAAAATAATATAGTTTGGAAGATTGTAGAGGTAGATTTGACAATGGAGTTGACAATAATATAATATTGAAAACATATGAAAACACAGTTTTATAAAAACGCTATTTTATATTCTAAACAAATGTAAATATATTAAAAATCGCGTACAGCAGTAAAATATACACAAAAGATATATTACGAACTAGAAATTAATATAATTTGTATCTATACACTTAAATGTTATTACTTAAAACTATAAGAACACTAGGCGATACCAAGTTTTGCACACAAATACAACACCTAATCAGCCACAATGTCGTACCGACGGCATTCAATAAAAACGTACTTATTGCTTGTACACGTAATAACGAATGTAGTAAACACTACACCGCAAACAATCACAAATTAATATATCCTTTATAATTACAATGATAATTTTAATTAAAAATTATATTTTATTATCCTTTGATATGTATTTATGAATAATGATCGATTAACTATGATTATAATATGATTAAATAATTCGAGGTTTTTTTTTAATTTAATGCGTGATTTATGAGTGTAGCCACGATTGCGTTTGAATATCTTCATTCCTTTTTTTTGTGTTAGCCGAAAATAGATTGTAAACAGATGGTTTCAATACAATAATCATAGATAATTAAAAATATTGCCCCTACAAGTGTAGGGGCAATGCAATGGCATTATCTATCTAAGACTTAGACACCGGAAATTAATACAGAGTAAGAATCCATATTGTTATTGTCTGGCTAGATTTTTAAGGTCAAACATTAAAAAAAATTAAATGACAACGATTCTTCGTTCTTATTTAAATGGTCGTAATCTTGGCTACACCCATAATAAAATTATTACACTACACTATTTTCTAACAATATTTCAAATTATATGTAAGCCAATTTTCTCTTTAAAACCAAGTTATACATCTCATAAAACTATCTTATTTAGGTTATTTGGGGTTACATGGGGATTAAATACATTTTTACATTATATCAACCATCAACAACATCATTAAACTTTAAACAATCACTGAAGATGAGATCTATAAAGCGAACGTGCAGTATCTCCTTTTTTTGTTATGTTGATTGAATCGTTTTTGTTCACAGGGCTTAGTACCAGTAAGCGTAATGTGCTCTGATTAGCCAGCTCCAATGAACCAACAGTATATACCAATAGTGGTCGTGGTGGCCCAGAGATTTAAGACGCCGCTTCTCATGCATGAGTGTACGAGTTAAACCTACCAACGGCAAGTACCAATGTGACTTTTTCCGAGTTATATGTACTTTCTAAGATTATCTAGACACCACTGACAAACGGTGAAGGAAAACATCGTGAGGAAACCTGAGCTTATAATTTCTAATTATAAGTTTGTAATCGCCAATCCGCATTGAACAAGCGTGGTGATTAATGCTTAAACCTTCTCCGTGTGGGAGGCTTTGGTCAGCAGTGGGCATTTTAACGCGGTTTCGTTCCGATTACTTAAAACAAACTCATACTAAGGCCTTTGAATTACCATTCTCACAGAAATCTGACAGTGACATACCACTGATGTACACATTCGTTGTGTTCGCTTTATAAATTTCAACTTCAGTATTTTATTCAGATTATTTGAGAACCTTTGAACATACATATAAATATAAAACAGTAATTTGATTAATATTTTTATTATACTGTAACTATTCTAAAGTTGACATATCGAGCATTTTATCGATATTAGTGATGCACATCACTAACTCTCATTCAAAGTTAATTATTTCACGCTCTTTTTTACGTTTCCATAATAAATTCTGAACCTCAAAAAAGATATGTATAATGTATTTTATTTCTGTTTCAATGCTTTTATAATATAGTAATAGACATATTTTCGCTGACTTTCTAAAATCTCCAACAACATTTTTCAATCGCTAGCTACTTCCAAAATTGTCAAATTGACAAGCAGATGGCGCTTTCCCTCTACGATTCTAGAATATTATTATAAAAACGTATTTTATAATAGTTTCGTAGCGTACACTTGTAGATATATTTAGGAAATTTGTAGATATGTATTTTAAATATCGTTTAAAATATTTCAATTATTGTAAAGGAAAAAATCTTTCGAATGATAAGTTGTACTAGAAAATAGTTGTAGTACCAGATGACAATTAAATGAATGGAAAAAATCCTCCGTGATTTCATCATCATTCATTAGATTTTAAAGGACAAATAACAAAAGGTAGACTAAATTTAATTTGTGTAAACATCCCCTAAATACACCTACAAGTATGAACATAGCATAATATCATTTATAAATCTCACTTGATTCTTAGTTCTTACACATAACAACATTTGGTCTACCGTACTAAGACAAACCACTTGGCATTCAGAACAATCTTAATAGATCTCACTATATCAACGACCTACGATAAAAAACTCCTTTCTTACAATTATCATTTCTTTGGGAAAGAAAAACTCATTTTCTTCTCGTAAAAAGAAAAAAAATATATAGAAGAATAATCGTCAGATTTGAAAATAAAAGAGAAAAAGAAAATGAGAGATAGAAGACAGAACTTTATAGAAATACACTTTCATTTAAGTGTAAAGAAGTTTACCTTAAAAGAAAAAAAAATCGATTAGATTTCTCGTAACTTTTTGGTTTCCTCGTGAATTTAATATGCTATCTAGACTCAATTTATCTAATTATGATGAATTTTTTTAAGTAATCTTTTATTTATTATCTTCAAATCACGTACATTATTTCAATTAATGTCATATTATAGATATTTTAGTTTATTTTAGTAAAACTGTTAATTTATCATTTTATTTAACGATCAAAACTGACATCTAATTTCAAACATACTACAATCGCAATACAAAAAAGGAACTAATTAAGAAAACAATCTGTCAAAAGTAAATTGTTGTTGGTTTCGTTTTTTTTTAATTACATTTGGGAACGAAAGAGGTCGGTTTACTCCATAGTGTCATACTGTACCTTCTTGACCTTGAGGTAGCGCCAAGCGGCGTACGCGCAGAGTGTGGCGGCGGTGGCGAGCGCCAGCGCGGCGCCGACGGCGACGGGCGCCGACTCGGCGCGGGCGCGCGCTGCCCGAGCGCATGCCCACGCCGGCCCGAACTCCCCGCCTCGCTTGTACATGAAAGCCTGCAGCCGCATCTCGCGAAGGTACAGTTTGGCGCGGTGTGCTGTGGCGGGACTGAAAGATGAGAAGAAAAATTCATAATCATTCAAGCCACAAAATTAAAAATGTAAAATCAGTACTTCTGCTCTTATTCTTATTCTACTGAAAAAAAAACAATCTCCTCAAATGCAAATGCTACAAAACAAAAGAACACTTGCTTGACAGTTAGAAAATAGTATTACTGCCTCGTTGGCCGAGTGGTCGCAAATGCGACTGCCGGGCAAAGTATTACTGAGTTTTTTAAGAAAGTCCCAGTAGTAGCACGGAGTCTGGAATTGTGCTCGGTATATGGCAATAGGCTCACCCCCTATTACATGGTACTCATAACATAAATAGTAAAAATTGTATATTACATTGTACCTCTACAGTGGCATTAAGTGCCGTAATGAGCACGTCTGCTTACCCCTTCAGGATAAAAGACATAATGTTATGTTATGACGTTTTTTTATCTACATGCTTGAGAAACAAAAACCAATAATGACTATGAAAATTATGACTTACTTAGCATCTTCCTCCGCCAACTCAATAATGGTTTCTTCAGGACATGAGTAGGACTTGCCAACTGGAGTAGGAAACAGGAGCTCCCTGGAGTCTGTGCTGAGCGTAACCTTCCGACCCTGGTTGGCTGCATGCTCGAGGATCCGAGCGCTCGAGTTGTAAGTCAGACGGAGACTGTCTGCGTACCAACGCTCTCCACCTGGTGTCTGAAAGAGAAGGTGGGCTTTAGAGGGGTTTAGTGATTGTGTCTTAGAAAATATAGAAGACATGGAACTGATTGTCTGGTTGAAGCTGGCTGGTCTACTGGCTGCAATGTGATGAAAGTATGAAGGTTTTTTTATGGTATAAGCCGGTAAACGGTAGACGGATCACCTGATGGTAAGCAAACGGCGTCGCCCATGGACACCTGGAACACCAGAGGCGTTACAAGTGCGTTACCGGCCTTTTGGGGATTAGGAGTTTGATGATCGTTGGGGATTCAAGGATTGGGGAGATAGGGGAAGGGGAGGGTAATTGAGCCTCCGGTAACCTCACTCACACGACGAAACACAACGCAAGCGTTGCTTCACATCGGTTTTCTGCTCGGCCGTGGTATCGCTCCGATCGAGCCGGCCCATTCGTGCCGAAGCATGGGTCTACCACACTTGAAAGAACAATTTTGTCCACATGATCCACAAATTGTAGGTCCAGGTCTGGGGGTGATGTGTTACAAGAATTTGTTTGTCAAAAAGGTATCCACAACGCAGGAGATATACTTGCGCGGTGCAATGTTTAACCCGTGGTATCGAACGTAGATATACGCGAGACATAATGTGTTGACTTCCTCGTTAGCCGAGTGGTCGCTAGTGCGACTGCCAGGCAAAGGGTCTCGGGTTCGATTCCCGGGTCTGGCAAAGGGGTTTTTAAAAAATTGTCAGTAGTAGCACGGAGTCTGGAATTATGTCCGGTATATGGCAATAGGCTCACCCCCTATTACATGGGACTCATAACATAAATAGTGAAAAGTGGGTGTTACATTGTACAGCGGCATAATATACAACTCAAGGGACCCTTCAGGGATAAAAAGGCGTGATCTTATGTTAAGATTAACAATGTGTTTTATATTATGTCTCAGATAAGATGTTAAACAAAAAACTATATTATGTTTACTTGTAATAGGGTAGATGACTATTTTTTATTTTAATGTCCGTCGGTAGATTATTTAAAATCATTAGACACGTATTTTTTATTTACTTACAGAAACATATACTTTCGACGATATATTGATTTGAAATATCGCGTGACGTCACTTTTGTGTGTATTTTATACTGAAAAGTGACGTAGTTAGCTCCCACTCCTTATTTAAGTATTGTTTTGATAGACGACAAAATAAAAAAATACGTGTCTAATTTTTTTTCGTTACCTAACTGATGGACTAATTAGATTTTTAATTTTCATACCCTATCATTATCCCTATTGCCATCCGTCCAAAGTAACTAGTAACCACCTTTGCTTTAGACTACCAATAATCTATGAATTTTAATATGAATCTACTTATCACCCTTATTACGTACTAAATAAAGTCTTCCTTCGTTCAGGATACTGATTCTGTGTATCAGAAAACTTACTTTAGAAAATGAAAATTCCAGAGCGAAGTCCTTGAAGGTCAGCAGGAGTGTTTCAGCATCGCTCTCCTTACACGCTCCAGCCACGTTGGCGTTGTTTGGTACGAACGTGTTCGCATCCTGGAACACAAATAGATAAATATTTATTTATAAGAAAGTACACGTCACCCCCTCTCTACTCCAGCAGCGGATAAGAACCGATTAAGGATCTCCCCAATCCCTGAATCCTCAACAATCCTCAAATTCCTAATCCCCTAAAGGCCAGTAACGCACGTGTAACGCCTCTGGTGTTCCAGGTGTCCATGGGCGACGCCGATTGCTTACCATCAAGTGATCCGTCTGCTTGTTTACCGGCTTATGCCATAAAAAAAGTAAAATTTCATCGCTTACTCCAGAATGTCAATTCTGTGCCTTCACTGTCTAGTCTACTTACTCACAAAACACTCACTCATAATGTTAATTAATAACAAAAAAATACAGTTTCAATATAAACCTAATCTAACCTATCATGACTCAGTGGAATTTATCGCTGTACAAAACAAATTTTAGCAAGAAAGCCGTGTTAAATTAATTACAACTACACAACACTGAACTTTATTGTAAAGGTTAATTACTATGAGCTGTCTACATAACACTTTACTGCTTGATTTAGGTACTTACTACCTAACTTCAGTTCAAGTTTACACATAAAATGTAATGCTTGACAACGTGTGTTGTAGGTAGGGGAACTTTGTTACGTCAGTTTTATGCATAGGAATATGTACAGGCTCGTGGCTCTCTCAAGAGAATTGAAACGATAATGATTGGCGCAGTGGTTTCATAAACATTTGGCAATGAATATAGTTAGTTAGTAATCTTGAAGCTTAGGTATTTTATACAAAATACAAGATTCAAGATTACTAACAGAGATATCTCTGAGCCCTCTTCGACATGGGTAAGTAAGATTTTTGTCCACAATCAGCTCAAAGTCAGCAGAATTGTTTAATTGAATTGTTGTGTGAAGGTAATGTGTTTCACCGCACTCCTGACTGGGCCTATTATCCGACAGGGTGTTTATAATACATATCCATTTTTTGAAGGGGGGAAAATCGTCGAATAACTGCTCCCGCCTGGGTGAGGCGAGAGGGAGTGTCAGACTCTTACTGACAAAAAACCGCTCCGTTCCATCTCCTGCACTTTGAGCCGGTGCCCCGGTAACCCGTTAGGTTCTCCGCGACTCCGAATCGGCATCAGCGCTATTGGGCACCATCCGTGGTGGTCTGATGGCTCTTTGAGGCGCGCACGGAACGCGACGCGCCGTACGCTCGGGTCTGGTCGGGCGGCGAGTCACCCATGCTCGCCGTCCGCAGGCCCGCGCTTACAGTGGCCGGAGATCGTATAATACATATGCATAAGAGCTTGTTTCATAATGTCTGGGTAGCCGATATGTACCAGAAAAAGAACTAAGAACGTAATTTGTATGAACTGTCACATATGTTTATCGGGTACCTCTATTATAAGCTGTTGCCCGCGATATGAATTTTAGGACATAACATATTTTTGTTTCAATTTTTCCAAAAAAAAAGTACATCAGCTACCTGCCAATAAAAGTCCCGTCAATATTGGTAAAGCTATTTCAGAGATTTGCCAGTACAAACAGACAAATATTGTAAAAAATATTGTATGGTATGTGTAGGTATCGTACGTATATTCATATATGCATGTAGTTTATGAAGGTGTTATTTTTAACAAAAAGACTCCAATTTTATTTTTCTGTACTGATATAAGTAAAGAAGGTTAAATATGTGCTAACATTTGTATATTCTACTTACAGTTCTCTCGTTGAGTTTGGTGACGTATGATATGTCTAAGAGCGCGTCCACCATCAGTAAGATGCACGTCTCCCCGTCTCTACCAAGCAGGCGATACGTCGCCGTGTTGAGGCTCCTCTCTGTCACTGCTTCCTAAAATTAAAAATTAAACACTTTTTAAAAACAAACTTTAATGCAGCTTAGCATTAAACTGTCAAACACCAAGCGGTCACCGGTGACCGCAACCTATTGTTCTATAATTGTGTCTATAATGACGGTACTCGACGAGTTAAATGGCTTTAGCTCAATCGGTTGAATATTCCAGCTTATAGATACACGTGTTATCTCTATAAAATTTAATTGCAAGGTTCCACTTCACATACACACATTGTCAGTGCAGTACAAACTAGTACATAACATCATAAAATCACGCCTGTTATCCCCAAAGGGGTAGGCAGAGGTGCACATTATGCCACTGTATAATGTAACACCCACTTTTAACTATTTATGTTATGAGTCCTATGTAATAGAGGGTGAGCCTATTGACATATAACGGTCACAATTCCAGACTCCGTATTACTACTAAGAATTTGAACCCGAGATCCCTTGCCCGGCAGTCGCACTTACGACCACTCGGCCAACAAGGCAGTATAAACTATTACTTCTAAAACTCATTTATTTGTATTTAGTAACTCAGAACAATAATGTCACTAACTTATATAAAGAAAACGTAAAAAAAAAAAATTACGAACAGAAAACCCTAAAAAAAAAATTAGTAAAAATGCCCTCACCGTTGATCCTCCAGGCGCAATGGTAGTTTTGCTGTACTTGGTGACCCTTGGCCTCCTCGTGGACGCCTGGTTGTCCAGCTGTAAGCTCTGCACTGAGCACACCAGCACCACTGCCAACACATACCGCATAGATGTAAAACACAATTTAATTAATTGTCCCTAAAAATTTTAGTAACTGTCCCTTTGGCATTAATCTTTAATTAATTGTCCCAAATTTTAAACTTCGTCAAATACATGTCTGTTTATTCTGTTTAATATTCATCAACTATATTATATCCTCTAAAATACTGGTTTTATTAAATGTCCTCTGGGATGTCGCTTTGTTAATGTTTTCACAAAATATCCCTGGCCACTTTAGTCTTTTAATTAATTATTCCCGATAAAATATTAACCATTACTAAAACCCTTCATAATTGTATTTATTTCTCATTGTCTATTTTTCCAAAATATTTAATTATTATTTATAAGTCACTAATATTACAAAACAGCCAGAATTATTGTTTAAAAATAAATGTGTTTTAATCACATGATAATAAAGTGTTGTACATTTTTATTTATTTACTGATTTCCACTAAAAACACTTTTTAAATCAATAAAAAACGTTTAAAAATACACATCTCTAGATCGTGTTCTTAGTTTGAATACAAGGAAAGACCGTCGAGTGCATATAATGGCGTTGATTTGTCTAGTGATGTGCTTTCAAAATATCGATGATTTTTGTTTGTTACAATTGTATTATGATTTTCAACAGTCACATGTTTCATTTATTTTGTTTTTAATTTCTACCTTATTATCTCACTTGTAAACAAAACAACGTGAACGATTTATAATTAACATATTATTATACTGTTCATATTTCAATGACGTCGCCAAATATGATGGTACGTAATCAATATTTTAATCTATTACATTTTTCGTTAAACAAAACACAGTTGATATTTTCGCATTAACCTTGCGTTAACATTGTATGTACTCGAAAATAGTTGACATTTGCACAAGTCATAAGTAGGACCATTTGTTAGCAACTGTCCTCTCCTACGCCCTTTTAATAAATTGGCTAAAGTAAATACCTTCTACGACTAAATTTATTACGTACAAAAAACTGTCGAGTTACAAGTGAGTGGAACAATCTAGGACGAACTCCTGGCTCCATTTCCTGGATTAGGTTAGGCCCAACTGTATTTATAATCATTGCCTATTGTATTCTGTAATCAAAATTTGCACCAGGTAAACACAACTAACAAGCATACACGTACACTAGACACGGCAAGAAAACAATGTAGGTATACTATAAATAACCAAAGCTACCCCTTTACAGAATAACAAACATTGTATTATGTTAAACCCCAAGTACTTGATATAAATAACATTCTAACAACAATACACCTACGATGCCTTAACTGACAGCTATTTTTCTACCATCCTTTATGTTAGCAAGTCACAATGTCTTAAGAAAATACTGTATATTATATCATGGTTCTGTTCAGAATATAGGGCTGAATAATCTGTCTTAGACATGTGTCTGACCTAGATTTATACCTAGAACAAGAAACCTTACCGTGTGATTAATATTATTCCTAAAAGCTCTCACAGACGGATTCCAAGTAAATGATTAATGATACCAGCCTCGTTTTCATACAAAACATCTTTGTGTGAACATGAAATTAATTAAATTATCCAAAAGTACTAGTCATCGTTTTAATAATACATGGTCTGAGCCTATTTTTTGGTTGTTAGACGATTATTTTTTGAGCATAATTAAGTGGATTGGTACTTGAAACTCAAGTTTTACATTCAATTTTTGGGGTGTAAAATGAATTAATGAAAATACGTACTTAAAAACTGTTTAATTTTTCTCAACGAGTAATGTTTAATTAGGCGTAGAATACGATTACACATAATTAAGTTAATTATATCGATATAAAATAGTTTTAATTTGACGATTTTTTAAACAAAAACACTAAAACGAAAATAAAATTATATCGATAAATATACACTTTATCGATATTTTTGCGAACATAAGCCCATCACTACGCTAGTTAGTTCATTGTGGAAACTTTATGTGAGTGAGCGAGAATCACGATTGATGGCTAACACACCGATGTGAGCCATTTAGCAATTCATTTTACGATTTTTTATCTTATATCTAGTTGTAATAAGTGCTAAAACCGATTTTGAGGTTTTGGTGACAAAGTGGGTATTTCTCATTTCTTGGTAACAGGTTTTAAAAAGAACCAATTCATTAATCATAGTAAACAATGGTTAGTTAGGTATTGCTTCTGAACTAAATCAATCTTTGTTTTCTTACATGAATATAGTCAATACAAAACACACAATACCTACGGGGTGTTAACGAAACGCATTTGTATTATTGGTTTTTTTTTAAATCTCAGTAGTAGCACGGAGTCTGGAATTGTGCCCGGTATATGGCAATAGGATCACCCCCTATTACATAGGGGTCATAACATAAATAGTGAAAAGTGGGTGTTACATTGTACAGTGGCATTAAGTGCCGTATTTTGCACCTCTGCCTATCCCTTCGGGGATAAATAGGCGTGATGTTATGTAATCAGAACGTTCCCGAAACGCTGAAAAAAGGAAATTGTTTTTACAATGTATTTTAACTCGTCGAGTACCGTCATTATAGACACAATTATAGAACAATAGGTTGCGGTCACCGGTGACCGCTTGGTGTTTGACAGTTTAAACTGTCCTATTGTTCTATAATTGTGTCTACAAAACCGGTACTCGACGAGTTAAGAGCTCTTTCACATTTAGGCGACTTCAGCAGCACGACAGTCGAACGACTATCGCGCTGCCAGAATTTCATAGTTTAAACAGAAGCGCAGCAGTCGCGCGCTGGGCCGCGTGTGTCAATCTATGACGAGCTAGTTTTGTAAATACCTAAGTCGTTTTGCCATCTCCTGGTCTTTGTGGATGACATTTGGTATTTGAATTGATGTTTTACTAGAGATATGAATATTATTTATGCATTTTAAAAATAAAGCACGGCAGCGGCGCTACTAACGCACAACTGTTCTTAGAGTGTGAAAGAATGCGCTTTTGCCGCACTACTGTCGCGCTGCTAACGTTCTAATGTGAAGGGACACTTATACAGAATACGGGGTGTAAATGTCTACAGGTAGTAATAAAAACCAAGTTTGATATTCATAACGATTAAAATTGTGACAACAATGTCTTTTTGTCAGCGTCTCCCGAGAAACGCCAAGAGGTTATAGTGAAAAGCTAGCTTTACTCTCATAAAAGTAAAGAATTAAATATTTCTCTTATGTAATAATCGTTGCAATGAACTGCTCAAGGCTGATGTTGCATGAATAACACGAAAACAAAAAACGATTAATTTAAGGAAATTTTTTTT